CCATTCACGTTTGGTACGTCCAACTCTGTTAACTTTTGCTTACGTGGAGGTCAACGCTAAAAGTTGACCGCTAAATGTGTGACGTGGCAATTTAAAAATATTAAATTTTTTAATATTAAATTTTTAAAATTGCCATCTCATTTCCACCTCATTATCACTTTTATTTAAAATAAATAAAAAAATCATAATTTCTTCTAAGAGCAATTAAGCCTCCTCCTCCTCCCTCGCCGTTCTCGCTTTCTCCGCTCCCGACTCCCCTTCCCACTCCGCCACTGTCAGTCGACACCTCACTTACCAACCGCCGCCGCCTCGGGTTCCTCCTCAGTTTTTGCCCCGTCGACACCCCCTTCCTCCCTCCTTCGTTCTCGCTAGCGTACTCCTTCACCACATCAGCGGCCCTACCCTGTTTCGCCGGTGCGACGGCGTCAAGGGGAGCGAGTAGCATCCTGGCTCCTTGTCGGAGTTGGAATCAGAGGAGATGAGGTCGAGGCATACGGGTCCTAGGGTCGTGTTCAGGCGGACCCATTTTGGGTTCGGGTCGGAGAGCTCCGCGTCGGCGTCGAAGCTATTGATCGACAGGTCGGACATGAACATCCGGCTCATGGCTTCGTCTTCGTCGTCGTCACCGTCGTTGGTGTACATGGAGCTCGTGCAGACCGAAAACCTGGAGTGTTTGTGGTGGGAGTGAGGGTGGGAGGAGTGGATATCATAGCCGTCGTCGGCGTTAGGGTTGAGGAAGTCATCGACGAAAGAGAGCACGACGGAGCTTTTGCCGGACGCCATAGAAGCACCAGTAGTAGTAGTGAGTGGCAAAATCACGGACCAGGAGTTGGAAGAAAAGGGAATATTGGAATTGGAGAAAAGGAGAGGCAACTGGAGAAAATATAGCTTAAAGAAGAGATTTGATAGTTGGTTCTTCGGTGAACGATTGATTTTGTTTGGGTTGGGTGGGACTTTGGAATAGTGAATAATTAATTGCTCATAGAAGAAATTAGGGTACTTTTATTTTAAATAAAAGTGATAATGAGGTGGAAATGATATGGTAATTTTAAAAAATTTATTATTTTTAAATTGACACGTCACACATTTAACGGTCAGCTTTTAGCGTTGACCGACACGTAAGCAAAAGTTAACGGAGTTGGACGGAGAGTGACCAAACGTGAACGATTTTAGTAAACTGAAGTACCACCAATGGATTTAAATATTTCGAGTGACCAAATTTGAACGTTTTTTGAAATCTTAGTGACAAACCATGCAATTAACCCGAAAATAAAGGGACGATAGTGAAAGTATGAAGGACATTTTGGTCTTCACAATTACTTTTTTTTATTCATTACAAAGACACGTAGGATTCGAACCATGACCATTTTAAAGAAAAACAAGAATCATAACCAATCACACTAAGTACATTTGTTGCATCTTTTTAAATTAAAAACATATAATAGCAGGGAGGAAAAAACTATTCCCCCATTTCAAATTCCCTGCTCCAGGAGCGTTTGTAGGAAGGGTAGAATAGGGAGTGTCAATTTTTTTCTCTAAGCTCTTTTATTTCTCCGTGGTGATAAAATATATATGAAAAGACAAAAGCAATACTCCTCTTTATTGCTAAAAATAAAAAATTTAACAATAAACTAATGCATGGTATCTAATGGGCTAACCGCTAACCATAAAATAAAAGAGTTGAATGTGCCTGACCTACACGGGATTTGGCCATCAAGTAAAACAAATGAACATCATTGGTTTACCATTCTAAAAGCGTTTGTAGGAAGGGTAGAATAGAGAGTCAATTTTTTTCTCTTTCCTCTGTGGAACGGGCCAACTTACCGTACACATGCGGATTTAAACGGGTCCAGGAGTGTCAATTTTTTTCTTTAAGCTCTTTTATTTCTCCGTGATGATAAAATATATATGAAAAGGCAAAAAAAATACTCCTTTTTATTGCTAAAAGTAAAAAAATTTAACAATAAACTAATGCATGGTATCTAATGGGCTAACCACTAACCATAAAATAAAAGAGTTCAATGGGCCTGACCTACACGAGATTTGGCCATCAAGTAAATCAAATGAACATCATTGGTTTGTCATTCTAAAACAAACTATTTTCTCTAGCATAAACTATATATTATGCTATAATTTTATATCTTACTGGCTAAAATAAATGTATTTTAAAGTTATTCAATGGTTCAACCTCGACCTACCCAATTAGTCCAATTTTTATCATTTCAAATATATATTATATAATTATTTGATATAATAATGATCAAATTATAGTGTATTTTACAGGGAATCGTTTGGTATTTGTTAGTAAAAAACTAAATAGAAAGATCTATTTGGTTATTTTAAACATTAAAACGATCCTAAACATTTCCAGTTCATTTTGAATTTCTATGGTTTTATTCCCGAATAAGTGATGTGCAAATGACGAATTGTAGTCATCTCTTTTCTTTCACTTTTTTTTATTTTCAAATAGAAAGTTTAAAAGTAAAGAATAATTAGAATTTGACATGGGTTGGTCAAACAGCCTGAATTCCAGGTTTTGGCCCGTTTTGACCAACTCTAATTTATCATCGCATGGTTTTCTGATACTCGATAAAAATCTCAATCCAAACCAGTTTGGCAGGTGAGTCCGTGTTTACCACCATTTTCTAGGGATACGACAACAGCGGTTCCTATTCGAAATCGTGTTGTTCGTTCTTGATTTTCTTAGATTTTATCATTGCCTGAAAAAACCCAGAAAGCACAATGACGACAAGATGAAAGTTTTATAAAGCAAATTAATTGGCCAACGGGCTGAGTAAAAGCTAGCAACGATTGTGAGATGCTCATTTCCCGAAAACCGACGAGATAAGCGATTTTTTATTCGATTTTATGGAATTCGGTTTCTATAAAACTTACTCCACCTCATCATATTACCAGAAACAATACTGTTTCACAAGGTAACAGGTACTTGATTTTGGTTCATAAGGCCGATTTTTGATTCGTTGCATCATTCATGTCTCTTTCCTGCTAAAATTCATCATTTTTATCACGTGTTTCCCAAAAAAAAAAACTATACAACAATAAGCTATACACCCCATTACATTATCAAATTTCATACCTCACCTTCCTCCGGCCAACTGGCCGGGGCCACGCTAGTACTTGATAAAATCAAAAGCTGCAATGCGTGTCAGACGCTCGCGATCGCCCAGCTCTCCGAACGGAATTGTGCGCAATGCTGCTTGTCTTCTGTCCCAACTCCCCGCTGCTCAACGTTGTCCCGCGCTACTGCTCGTTGTTATTGGCGCTCGGCTGCTACTGCTCCAATAAAACTTTCCCCCAAAAGAATTATCTCCCCCCTTCTACAGTCCAACTCCGTCCAATTATATACCCCCTTCCACTCTCCAAAACAACGTTGTGTTATCCCTTCAGTAAAGGCCAAACGATTTGGTCCAAAAAATTCAAAGAATGACCATCTTCCTTCTACGCCACCGTTCCGCGCGCTAGCCTTGTCCTCCCAGAAAAGGACAACAAACTCGGTCCAATCAATTCCTCCACAATGCATCTGGCAAGCACTCCTCTAGTCCAATTCCTTCATCCCAATTTCGTCGTCCAACTAAAGCATGAATGCCCGGCCAGCTAGTACTTCTGCTCATGATTGTTAATTTTTTCGTGTTTTCTTCACCTGTAATACATCGAACTCATGGCATTAGGCAGTAATGGTTTTTTTAACCATTTCAGGGTTAGGGAGCCCTGAAACTTGCCACAATATGCTCAAACATATCATCAGCTAATCATATTACGCACGAAAAATCAATATGTTGTAGCCGATTATTAGTTGGTCATGAGATGTTCATGTGAGACAATCCAAAGGAAGGGTTTGATTCGATTCGGCCCGCTCCATTTCCACTCACTTTTCCATATAGTCTTCACGTTCACTTCTATGTCACTCTCGCTTCATTTTGAAGTCAATCCTCCGCGATGAAGTAGGCCATATTGAAATTAAAACGCCCGATCTGTTCCATGCCCCAAACCATGTCGTCATCTCATGCCTCTCGAATAGGCGTGTCATGACCTGCAATAAAAAACAGATCATTAGGTAAATATAGTTCAAATTTATTCCACAACCACTCACCTGAATCTGATACCATATCAGCCATAGAGGCATTTCAATCCACGACATCTCCAATGTTAGTAGTGTTGCTAGAAAATTGATCGGAGTGTTCTTCTTCCCACTTTAAAGCTTCTGACATTCTTCCCATCCATGCTTTGGAACTTTCTTTCTTTATGTTTCTGGTAGTGCTGGCGAATTGAAGAGGAGCAGTGGGGTCTTTGTTCTTGCGATCCAAATTGCCTAGGATAGTCGAGAGGGCGGAGAAGGAATTGCCTATAGCAGTCTTTTCAGTGGGCTTCTTGACTATTAAGGAACTCAGCCAGCCTGCAGTTGTGGGCTTAGCAGCAGCGCCATCAAGCCCAGTAATTGTGGAGGATCCATTACCAATAGTTAATGGGGATGTGGATTTACCTTAATCATTTAATTACGTCAAGCTCTTGCTTTGGTTGTATTTGTACTTTATACCATTTGAAAATGCAGTCAAAGCCCTTAAATAACTACTTCAGTCTCTATGCGTACAACGGTACAAGGATCAGTGAGGCGTTGTGTTTCTCGGTCAAGTCCTTCCCGATACGTCATTAATCGTACTTGGACGTTTAGAGTTTTTTAATGATAGTACTAATCATGATGGACAAACTTTGGCCGTAATTGAGGTACATAAACTAACGTTTAAAAGATAGTTTATGATAAATGAAACAATAACTAATGTGCTCCCACTTGAAATACTAAAACTGAATAGCGGGAGCCGTAAAAATCCAATTGTAGAAACCAGAACAACAATGAGAAGCAACATTGTTAATTGCTTCTAGCCCTTACCGACGTGGTTAGCTTTCATAGCAAAACACAAATGAATTAGTGCATAGTCTTTCCAATGCAAATTTCTTGCAACTGACACTATATATATAAGTATCTTCTGTCGCTACTTTTGTCGTCAAATTTAAATAGACGAATGCAACTCGACAAGTTATGCCTAAGAATATGTGCTCAAATGAAAATCCCGCCGCGGAGCGCGGGCTCCATACTAGTATACATAATAAGACAAGAATAATTTTCAAGTACACACTATTGAAACAAGATACCGTAGTGTACATAATAAGACAACAATAATTCCAGAGTACAAACTACTCAAATATAAATGTGCGGCTTCAGTTATTGAAGCTTATTCATTAATCAACTAGGCTGCTACTAGCTACCGACATGGTTCAGACGGATACACATAACAAGACAACACAATGATCTGCTTTCCAGGGAATTGGAAAGAAATGCCACCTCAGATCTGCGATGATAAACAGAGGAACCCGAACCACGCTCTGGAGAAAGCTGGAAGGGGGGAGAAAGCAGCTTAGAAGCGCTTGATGAAGTCAAAGATGTGCTGAGTGATCTCGTCAGGTTTGACCAAGTTGGGGAAATGAGGCACTCCTTTCATCACCACCACTTCTTCAAGCAGCGGCACTTCCTTCTTGAACTCCTCGCCGTGAATGTAGTCCTTCAGCCCCACCATGCCGTACGCCACGTCCTGATCCCCGACAATGAACTTGGCCGGCACTGTGTACTTGCAATCTCCTCCCGCCCACGGCCCCATCAGCTCCCCTGTTCTGCGAAGAAGTTACAGAAGAAGAACCAATCAAATGGGTTGACGAAAAGATTTGAAGTTATCTTATCTAGTCGATGATATAGCATAGCTTACAAGGGGAAGGCTCGATAGTAATTGAGGCCGCCGGTGAAGCCGGTTTTCTTGAACTTGGAAGCGTAGTACTTGACGTCTTCTTCGGATAGCCAAGACGGCAAGCTGGGCGGGTCGGGTAATCCCCGGAAACCGGTTTCTCTGGGCACCATCGGCGGGTCGGGCTTGCTGAATAATGTGAAAAGCTTCACCATCATTTTGCCCGTCTCCACCTCAGCAAATTCCTCTTCTGCTTTTCCCACTTCCTGCAACACATTCAAAACAGAGTCCGGAGTTTCGATTCAATACAATCGAATTGACAAGTTCCAATTTGCTCATAAATCTCAATTTTCCCGCCATTTATATTTGGGCAAAAGTACGCACCTGAAACCTGCAGAAGTAGTATTCATCGCCGTAGGCAGCTCGAAAGGCGTCGACGAGGCTGAAGGCATGGGACTGGCGGAGCGGCGGGATGCTGAGGTTGACCACGGCGGTGACCCGGTCGGGTCGGAGCCTGCAAAAGTACCAGGCCATGGCGGCTCCCCAATCGTGCCCGACCAAGAAGACCTTGTCGATCTTGAGGGCGTCGAGGAGGCCGACCAGGTCGCCGACGATGTGGAAGGCGGTGTATTTGGCCGGAGACGAGGGCGCGTCGGTGTCGCCGTACCCGCGGAGGTCAGGGGCGATGCAGCGGTAGCCGAGGGCGGAGAGGGAGAGGAGCTGGTGGCGCCACGTGTACCAGAGCTCCGGGAAGCCGTGGAGGAAGAGGATGGTGGCCGGCCCGGCTCCGATGGAGGCCACGTGCATGTTGATTCCGTTGGTGGAGATGGTTGAGTGGGTGATTGACTGGTCGCCGCCTTCTCCCGCCATGTGGACGCTTCAGATGAGTCCCAGGGAGCTGTGCGGAGATTGGTACGTACTGCAGTTTTCGGTTCTTTGTGTATATATTAGTAGATGGCAGGAGGAGGGTTGAAGATGGATGGAGCTGTGAAACGTGGAAAAGGAGCTGGTAGGTAGGTGAGGAGGTCGACGATGAGAAGAGAGAGAGAGAGAGCGGGAAAAGCGCTACAATGTCACCTAATTAATTACATTCTAGTACCTATAGTTAATACAATTTCGCTAATTAATCCTATCTATTTACATGGACTGGTTTCGTGTTTGGTTTGGAGATCAAGTCAATAAGAGTTTGAACTGGTTGAGGTTTGGAGGTTAACAAGTTGAAAGGTTGTGGAGATGTGTTGAACTTTCAGCTTATGAGCTAAAAATTGATTCCTTGTGAAGTGATAGTCAATCTTTTATGTGTTTCGTCATAGCATATTGTACTGGATTTTTTTTTTGTCAACTTTACGGCTGATTAATTATCACAGTAGATAGTGTAAGGTTGTTGGAGTTCGAGAGTCATTTGCTTGAAGAGGAAAGCTCATCCACTAGAGTTCTTGGGCAGTGTTAGCAAGGGTAATGTATTCAGCTTTCGTGGATGATCTGGACATTCTCTTTTCCTTCTAGGATCGCCAACTAACTAGGGAATCACCTAGAAAAATACAATAGCCAATCCCAAATCGTCGAGTATTAGGGCATCGTGCATAGTCTGAGTATGAAAAAGCAGTTTAACTTTGTGGTGGTATGAGAAGGGAAAAGAGTCCTATGGCAGGAGTTCTTTTGAGGAACCTCCAGTAGTTTATGTGTTGCTTGTTCATTAACTATAGTGGGAGCTCCAACAAATTGGCTTAATTGATTGACTGTATAGGAAATGCCAGCTCTAGAGTTAAATAGATACTGAAAACAACCAATCAAAGTTCTGTAACTACTGATTGCTGGTGTATCCAATAGGGGTGGCTATACGGTCCGGTCCGGTTAAATTGGCCCAAATTGATCCGGTCTAGTCCGGGTTTTTTGAGAATATAAGGACTGAAGATTGGATTGGATACAGTCCGGTCTTGACCCAGTCCGGTCCTAATTCGGTCTTGATTTTATATTGAGATTGTGGGAATTTGAGTGGCCTAAGGCCTAAAAGGGTGAGGAGTTGGTTAAGTTTTGTACTAAGTGTAAAGGTTTGTGACCGTTTATGCAAATTATCCTTAAGTTTTGGGTGTTGAGCTCTCTTATCCGGTCTTTATCCGGTTTTTTACCTCAAATCTAAGCCCAAAGATTGGATTGGATTGTTTACTATCCGGTCCCGGTCCGGTCTCGGTCCGGGTTATACGGTCCGATTTCCGGTTTTTCATCCGGTCCCGGTCCAAATAGCCAGCCCTAGTATCCAAAGCTATATTGTATTACTTTTAACCATTACTTATATTTAGAAGCATGTTTGAAGGTTTTTGGTTCACTGTGAAGACTGATAGATAAAGCAAATTTCCTATGAGAGAGGCTGAGTGATCTGTAAGACAGAACTTCATGGATTGGGTAGTTAGTAGATACTTATATATCGGGAATTGTACCGATAAGATTAAACTTGTAATCCTTAAGATGAGTGAGCTTTTTAGTGATCCTTATTGATTTCCTTATTGGTTGCGATGTAAAAATTTTAGGAGCAGCAGTAGATCTGGACTCAACAAGACAACAACTGGATATGTTAAAATTTGTTGTGATGAAGTAGGATTGTTTTATTCCAGAGTGATAGAATAAAGAGGACAATCCTGATTGACTAGAACAGGTTTCACTGATATTTGTACAGTTAGGGGTGTACATGGTTCGGGTGGTTCGGGTTTAACCATTTCAATCACCCGACACATGCATTACGATTTGAGAAATAATAAACCTAAACCCACCCAAAAAATTTAAACCCTACTGTTTGTTTCTAATTGGGTTGGGTCGGGTTGACTATATTTTTAAGTAAAAACTCAACCCAATACAAAATATATAATTATTCTACACCATAAAAAATATTTTATTAACAACTAAATTTCAAACGAATAAACCGAGGTGAAAGGTATTGAATTTAAAAAATGTTATTTCAGTTTTAATAAAATGTGATTTACTTAACATTTGTCTAGTGTTTTTCACGATATTTGTTGAAATAGGCTAAAAAAGTTATAAACGAATTCACCCGCAATATGTTATTCTATTAAAATTATACACAAGAAAAAGGATTACGTGAATCATAGCTATATTAAATTTATGTCGAAACTTTAAGCCGAAGAATGCATTAGATTAGGGAGACCATTAGAGAAAAACATGGTGAAATATCTTAATTTTCGCATAAGTATGGCTATATATGACATAAATATTTTTGGATACGAACTCCTACTAATAGTTGGAACACGGGTTGGGTCGGGTTCTACGAGTTGTGTAATCCAAAATCCAAACTCAACCCAATAGAGGTGGGTTGTACAAAAGAAAATCCTCACCCAACCCAAAACCTTCGTTTTAGCCATAAATACAAGTGGATTGGATCGGATTGGACGGATGGGTCGGTTTACGGGTGTGTTTGTTCACCCCTAGGTACAGTTGCTGAAAGCCAATTAGTAGAGCCCGTATCAGGCAAGGATTGCAGATATACTGGTGTGGGAAGCTCCCCATGCACTAGTCTAGAAATGAAGTAAAAGGGAAGATGTTTTGATGAAAATAAACACCTCTGGATATAATAATGGCATGTATGGTCAGGTTGTACTTCCTATATCCTTTCGTATGAGGTGGATGCCCTAGATAAACACATTGTTGTGCACTAGGATCCAATTTTGATCTTGTGGCTTTTATAATGGAAGCATAAGCTAGACATCTAAAAACTCTCAAATGTGTGTGGTTAAGAGTTTGGTTGTGTAGTTTTTTCATAAGGAGTCTGATTGTTAAGTAGTGGCGTAGGTGTTTTATTTATAAGGTGAATAGCATGAGCTACTGCAAAATGCCAGAACCTACTTGACAATTTTTTTTATGAGGATGATACATATTAAAAATTGGGAAATAAACAGAAATACATAAATACATGGAAACCCAAACGGGAAATCCCAAAGAAAGAACACAATGAACAAACGCACATCAATCCAAAATGGAATTGGGCGGAGAAGTCACTAACAAACAAGCAGAAAGCAAGAAAGACAAGCCAAGAGAGGCGACAGAAGTCCCCAAAAATGTCGATCAAATCTCTGCATAGCATCAAAGTAATTATGCTCTTTTAACAGCCAAGAGATGTTGGAGTTTTCTTTCTACAATCTCATTTTGTTGGGATGTATATACAAAGGTTGTTTGGTGTATTATACTTTTCATTTGATAATATTCTGACATTTGGAACTCATGGTCTAATGATTTTTATGTTCGAGTGATACTGTGTTTAACAAAATTGGAGAAGTTTGTGATGAATGTTCCAGTTTCATACTTGAATTTCATAGGAAAATCCAAGCAAACCTAGAAAAATCATCTGTAATTGATAGAAAGTAGTGATGACCATAGGTTGTAGCCTGTAGGAGCTTGTCCTCAAATGTCAACATGAATGAGAAAAAAAACTTTGGTCGTTTTACCTGTGATTACAGAAAAATGCAATCATTTTGTTTTGCCTTTGGCCATACAATACAATGAAACTGAACATTGCTATGAACAAGACATGTATATGAATGTAGTAGCTACAATTTATTACCTTGTAGATGGCCCATCCTATAATGTGTAAGAAATATAATTTCTTCGGGCGTTTGTGATTGACGTAATCTGATTGATAGAAAGAGACTCAGGGTTTGGGAGGAAGAATTAGGGATTGGGGAGAAGAACAAAGTTGGGGATTAGAAATTTAGAAGAGGACATTGGAGATCGAGGAGAAGAACGGCCAAAGGCCTGGGATAGGTGACGCATATTGACAGAAGAAGGATTAGGGTTTGAGATATTTTGCATAATACTTTTCTGATTAATCTTGAATGAATCCCCAAGTACATATTTATAGAAAATAAACCCCAAAAACCTAACAATTAACCCTAACCTACTCGACAACCTTAGCCTCCTAACCCTACTAATCCTAACAATATTAATTATAATTGTTCTAATAATTTATATTTCTAACTGTTCACCCTCCTTAAAAGCAACCTTGTCCTCAAGGTTGCAATCAATTTCCATCTTTTTGACCATTCACTTTCTTCGTTTCCAATTGCGCTCTATCTCATGAATAAACCTCTTTCAAGGAACCTCGACTTTTTCCGACTCTTCTCCAACCATGTGACCCATGTCACCATGAACAAATGAATCCACTGTTGGAATATGTAAAATATGTGGACCAAACTTGTAATTATATTTTGTATAAGGACTGAGGAGGACATAACGTTGAGGCTTGTGGTTAAGCCTCTCCGTGTTTGGCAGCCTACTTAAGACTAATTATGGCATTTTAGTTCATTAATGAATCTAAGAACCCTATTAGCCACCGTGGAGTAAAGCCTTTCTGAAAGGCTGAACCACGTTAAATCTCATGTCTTTTATGATTATGTTCATCAATTCTAGGTAGATTATCATGGTAGCAGAGCCTCACGGGGTTCTTCAGGTTTAGCTTTGGAGCTTTGAGTTATCTTCATCACTACTTCGCAGCTACGTGCTTCATGTCTTGCTTCGCTGATGATCTTTCTTTCGCCAGTTTTGGTCATGTTCTATTTGCGGGTTATTGCTGCTGGGTGTTTTTCAACAGAATTGGTAGTGTTTGTATGTCGGTTATTGCGGCTGTCTGTCTTGAATTTTCAGCCGCAACGCTCGTGTGTTCTCGTGTGATTTTTCCTTGTTGCTCGTTTGTCCTTTGTCTCTATTACATCATGGATTCTGCGAAAGATGTTGTGTCTGCACATCTCAATCGCAAGAACTTCCCGCTCTGAGAATTTCAATTCCAAGTCTTTATTGAAGGTAAATGGTTGTTTTCCTATTTGGATGGCACTCGTCCGATGCCTGTTGATTCCAATTATGAGAAAGAGAAGGCCAACTGAGAGGCCAATAATGCTCAGTTCATGTCGTGGTTACTTGGTGCGGTGGATCTCAACATTGCTTTGAGTTTGCGTTCCTTCTCTACCGCCCATGAGATGTGGCGCCACCTTTGTTCACTCCACTCTCAGACGAGTGCTTCTCAGCAATTTGAAGTCTCTACGACTAGTGCCAATTTGTTTCAGGGTGATTCCGATTTTTCGTGATTACTATCAAGCTGCTCTTCATCTCTTGGCTGAAGAGGATATGCTATCTCTTTATATCACTAAAGGCCAGGTTACCCTAGCAAAAATGCATCCTGAAATTTGAACTTGTTTGTGCTTCGTTGCTTCATGGCAACATCTCTACTATTGATGATGTCGTCACTGATCTCAGTCGAGAGGAGACCCGGTTGCACAGTCATGCTCAGGTTGATCATGGTTCATTCAGTTCTGATACGACATTTGTTGTTGGTTGTTCGGGCAACCCTCAGTTTCAGCACCAGGTTCCTCCTCACGCTGAGTGTCATTACTAATGGGAGAAAGGCCATGTCCAAATTCATTGCTGGAAGAGGAACCATTGTACTATTGGAAGACAACGCGTCATATTGTTTTTGAATGTCCGAGTTTAGCTCATCGTGGGAAGGCTGGTGGCTCACGTCCATCTGCTCCATCTCCTATGTATGATATGCAGCTCCCGCTGTCGACTCCTACTGTTGGGCTGCTTGGGGCTCCTCCTGCCCCCACGTCCTTGTCCTCGGATGGTGGGTAAAGGATCAAAATATGAGTGCACATATACTTTGGATACTTTGGAGGACTCTCGTTCTTTTTGCCAAATTAAGACAATGTGGCTGGCACGCCTTCCACTATTTTGAACCGTTCAATTTTTCCTAGTGATTTCCATTCTTTTTCCATTCTTCGGAAGACTGGAATTTATTGCATTATCGTTTGGGTCACCCCCATTATGTATGTTTGAAAACAATTTTTCGGAATAAGTTTCTTTCCGGTGTTTTCGGTTCTAGTTCTTCTTATGAAACTCCTTGTGTTAGTTGCATTCAAGCGAAAACGACTCGGATTTCTTTTGGGTGTAACGATACACAGTATGGTGCAACTTTTGACTTGGTGCACACAAATTTAAGGGGACCTCCTCCTACTACTTCTCGTATGGGGTATTGCTACTTTGCACTCTTCATTGATCATGTTACTCGTTATTGTTGGGTATAATTTCTGCGAAAGAAATCTCAACTTTGTGTGATAGCACTTGATTTTATCCAGATGGTCTGTACTCAGCTTGGGAAGACCGTCAAGATTATTCGCTCTAATCTTGGTGGTGAATTCAACTCGACTTTTTTGCTTGATTTCTACAAGCAACATGATATTCTCACACACCTTTCGTGCCCTGGAGTTTCGTAGCAGAATGGCTTGGTAGAAAGGAAGCACCGCCACGTGTTTGATCTCATTCGAGCTCTCCTTATCCACTCACATGGTTCCTGCTGGTTTTTGGGTAGAGGCAGTTCACATTGTCAGTTATTTGATTAAACGCCAAGTTACCCGTTGTTCTTAAACAACAATCGCCCTATTTCATGCTCTTTGGTAAACATCCTGACTATATGCATTTGCATGTGTTGGGCCGTTGCTATTTTGTCTTGTTATCGGTGAAGGAATGACACAAATTGGCACCTAAGGTGGCTACTTGTGTCTTCATTGGGTACAACAATAGCCAAAACAGATACATGTGCTATGATATTGCGTCTCTTTATGTTCGGATCTCATGTCTGGTCTTCATGGAATATCATCTTCACTATAAGCTTGTCTCCAAGGATGCTCCAAACCTTGACTTCCTGGACTCGCTACCAATGACCACTTTCCTAGACCTGTCGACTTGGACCCCAATCTCCCAGCCTCATGCTCCCACGAAATCACGTTCCCCATCTCATTTCGGGTCTTCCTCGATGGATTCCTCCACCTCGCTCGAGCCTATTATAGCGTACACTGCTTCCTCGTCCAGTTCTTCTTCGTCCAGCTCGTCCGAGTCATCTCCCTCCCTGTCTCCTCCTCCAGCTGCCTGGTTTTACGTCGCTCCACATGGAGCAACTTCGTCCAACCTCCCTCTCGCTCCAATGATTTTTTGGCCTTTTGATTCTCTCACAATTCCGATTCCTACATCGTATCGCCAAGCTTGTGGCAATGAACATTGAGAACGAGCTATGGATGAGGAAAGTGATGATCTTGAATCTCAAAACACTTGGACTCTTGAATCACAATACCGATGGCACATTGGAACCGTACAAAGCTCGGGTTGTTTCTCAGGGATTTTATCAGGAGTTTGGTATTGATTATGAGGACAAATTTGCAACTATTTCTAAAATGCAAACTGTTTGCACTGTACTTGTGTCACCGGTTTGCAGAACTGGCCACATGTGCAGCTCGATGTTAAAATACTTTCCTTCATGGCGATTTGAAGGAGACCATTTACATGGAGCGTCCCCCAAGTTATACTAAGGGTGATAGTTCTATTGTGTGCTTGCTAAATTGGTCGCCGTATGGGTTGGAACAAGCTCCTAGTGCATGGTTTGAAAATTTTCATTCTACGATTCTGCAAGCGAGTTTTTTTCCAAAGTTATAATGATCATTCCTTATTCACACGAATTACTATACTAGGTTGACAATTCTTTTGATTTATGCGGATGACATGATCGTGACAGGTGGAGATACTGCATGTATTCGAGAGTTGAATGGCATTTTGCAAACCACAGTCACCCCTATGGAGCAACATTTGAAACTCTATAGTACAAGTGGTGTTGTTCTCTCTTCTCAGGATGGTTCTATGTATCGCAGTCTTGTTGGCAGCTTAATTTACTTAACTTCTACTCGTCCAGACATTTCCTATGTTGTCCAGATTGTCATTCATATCATATTTTCTCACCGGATGCTACATTTGGATGTTGTCTATCAGATTCTTTGTTATTTGCGTGGCACGACTGAGGTTGGTCTTTATTTTCCTGTATCTTGTGATCTTTTTCTCTCGACCTATGCGGACACGAATTATGCATGATGTCTTGATACTCGACGATCTACATCTGGTTGGTGCGTTCAATTTGGTTCTTCTGTCATTTTTTTGGCATTCTTATTCGGGTCCATTTTGCTTACTTGATCATCGTCCCTTGACCTATTTTACACTAGGTTGTACTTGTTTTGGTACATTTAAGGTCCTAGCATGTGTGGGAAGGTCCAGGATGTGTTTCGGGTCATTCAGAGGTCAAAACGAACCAAAAAGTGGAGGTTGAGCACTGTTCACGGGCTGGAGCTTCAGTTTAGTGTCTTAGAGACCGTGAACTGAAGGCCCATACTGTGAAGTGGCCAATTTCCAAAATGGTTTTTGGTTTCACTGGACTCAAGTCATTAGTTCAGACCATGAACTGAAGCCCTAGACTGTGAACTCGGCCCTGTTGGGCAAATATAAAGACAGCAGCAGGGAGAGATAATGGGGAGCTGATATTTGTAAGATAAATCAATTATATCTCTAGGGTTTCAACCCAAAATACCAAAGGGGAATTCTAGTGAGAGAGAGAGAGAGTTCTTGAGTGATCTTTGAGCTTAATAGAATGTCACATCCCGATGTCTAAAACTCTTAAATAACAGTTTTGCTCTGGAGCATATTTAAAATTTTGAAAGAAAGAAATAATAATGTGCTCGAAATACCAATACTAAAAATACATCTTATAATTTAAAAGCAAAGCCCTAACATATGGGTAAACCTCAATCCATAAAGTCATATCCTTTTAAATCTCCAGTCATTACTCATAATCATAAAATAAATAAACTACAAGTCTCAAATGTCTGCTTACTCAGATTTGTGATCAGACATCTTCAGAAGTGCTCACATGGTCCTCCTCCGGTAGCCTGCTCTCTCACTCGATGATCCCTAGCTCCTCCTCTACAACCTGGTGAGTGGGTTGGGGTCAGTATACG